CGCAAGATAAGGAAATAACGATGATTAGTCACAATGGTACTATAATTGGTGACAAAATGTTTATAGAGAATGCCTTTCTTGAATATTATAAACAGCTATTTGGAGGCTGCCAGCAGCAGATTAACACGGATGAGATTGACAGCTTACTGCAAGGAACACCACAGCTTACAGATGATAAAAGAGAGTGGTTGGAGTAACCAATTACGCTCGGAGAAATAGAACGCGCAATGGATGGTTTGCCGGCGCATAAAACGCCCGGACCTGACGGGATAAGTGCAGAATTTTATCAAAAATTCAAAGATTTAGTAGCCCCTTTTTTTCTGGAAGTCTTTCGCGAGGCGTATGAATTCAAAGCATTACCACCCTCCTTTCTTAAAACGTATACTGTGCTTATACCGAAAGGCACTGACGCGAATGCGGCAAGGCGCGTAAGCAAGTACCGACCGATCACTTTATGCAACGTCAATTATAAAATTTTTGCACGGGTTTTAACTAAGAGACTCCAGCAAGTCATATGTAATTTAGTAGGTGAACACCAAACATGTGGCATACGGGGAAGGTGTATCCAAACAAACATACATGTCGCACGAACAATTTTAGACACTGTTAGCAACGAAGGAGGCCAAGTGGCGATGCTGCAGATAGACTTACAGAAGGCCTTTGATCGTGTCCGACACGAGGTGCTCTGGAAAGTGCTAGAACACGGTAATGTAGGGGCAGTTCTTTTGGAGCGAGCACGCATGTCGTACACTGGGTGTGTTACACAATTAGTTATTAATAATTCTTTGACCCCTAAAATACCTGTATCTTCCTCTGTGAGACAGGGGTGTCCCATGTCACCGTTGCTGTTTGCGTTGTACTTGGAGCCCTTTTGTCTGAGTGTTATTCAAAGTGATAAAGTGCACGGTTTTAGAATGGACTCAGTTTAGACAAAAGTGCTGTCTTACGCAGATGATATTGCCGTATTTTGTAGTGACAAAAGAAACGTAGAGGAAGTTTTAAAACTGACACAGTCATTTCGCGCCTCCACGGGTGCCGTAGTGAACCTAGATAAATGCTCCGGCGTTTGGCACGGTACTTGGGCTACAACACCAGCTATGTACGAAGGTATTCGATGGCAGTGCACCCCGTGCAAGTATCTAGGAGTCCCACTACAGCACTTCAGGAAAACAAAGCCTTACTGGGAAAATGCCGTCGAGGACATAAAGAAACGCACCGCCTCATGGCGTAATCGTGATCTGTCTATTTTTTCGCGAGCAACCGTGTGTAACATCGTCCTGACCGCAAAGATTTGGTATGTCGTACAGGTGCTATGCTGCCCCCGAATCTATATCCAGAAGATGCACCACGTGTTCGCACTATTTATCTGGTTGTCGCCAAGCTGGCCGATGTGTCGGGACAATCTGTTTCGTCGTGTGTCCAAGGGAGGGGTTGGACTGTCGCACCTTTTTATTCGTCAAACTGCGTCGCGGTTTCTTTTTCTGCGTGACCAGCGACACCCCCTTTTACGAAAGATGTTTCAGACAAGGCTCAGGGTCGCCCTACCGTCCTTTTTGTCGCGTCAGACTCGGGGCCCCCAGCCAAACCAGTTTGGACGTAAGATTTTCACCAAAATATTTATCAACAGTAACGCGCAAAAAGTTGACGCGCGACCTCCTTGAGCTCTTATTCCCTGCTCCGTTGTATAGACTTCCTTATGTTTCGTGTCCGGGACATGATGTTCTTGCCCGGGTAAAGAAAATGTGCGTCCCGCCTTGTGTCGAAACCTTTTTCTTCCGCCTCCATACTGAAACGTTGCCTGTGAAGGTATGGCTTGATAGACGAAACATTTACGTCCCATGGGGTGTAAATTGTATACTTTGCAAACAACCGGAGATGATTGAACATGCATTCTTGTACTCCTGGGATGCAGTGTTCTTCTGGGACGTTTCGCAACGGACTTTGAAACGGGATTTACAGGTCAATCCTTTTTCAATTCGCTTACTCCCGGTGGAGAAGCATGAAAGCATACCCTATGACATGTTTATGGTATAAGGATTGCATAGCCTTTGGAAGTCTCGTATGGCGGTGCGCCACGCAGAGCAGCACCCTAAGTCGGCCCGCCTGTTTTTTGTCGAACTTGTCCAAGTGAAGAGCGTTGTTGAACGTTTTGAAACCCCGCCAGAGTGGTTTAACCTGTTTGAAGAGCTAACAGGAATGAAGGAATTTTAATGCTCCTGACGGCTCCAAGTCGGAGTACATGGGTTTTTAATATGTAATGTGCGACTTGTGCGCAATAAAAAAAAAAATTGGAGCGTAGCGTGGTGGTTAAGACGTCTGCCTCGTAAGCAAGCGATCCTGAGTTCGAAACCCCATGCGGTCGTATGTTTCTTTTTTTTAAAGTGGGCTGATCCCGGACGCAGTGCAATCGATGTGAGCACGGACGCCGGACGGATGGACAAGGCTAGGCCCCAAGGAGTTTCGCCCCAGAAAAGGGGCATTACCCATTGTTTAAAAGGCCAGCAAGAAAATTAGCCGGAGCATTCCGTGATGGATGTACGCCACTGACCGCCACATGCCAACCTGTTTTATGTTAGCAATTTTCGCGTTCGGCTAAAACTAACTAAAGTTGTCACTTTTCAAAATCTTACCCTACTAAAAAAAACAGTATAACGTTTCGCTATCTAGATTTTGGAGCTGGAAATCATCTGAGGCCAGCCAGATTCACGAAGAGCTTCTTAGTTTACGACAACTTAGCTAAGAAGTTCAGAAGTTAAGATCATCGTAAGAAGAGGAGAAATCGGTATTCACGAGTCCATTCTTAAGTGAGAGGAGGAAAGCGACGTTTTCGTACGGAAAAACTAGAACTTACCGGTGCTGTTGCTCCGGCGACGGCGTCTTCAACAGCACGAATAACCAATCGGAGAGCTCGGCATGGTTCGGAGCACTTCGGAGCACGTGGATTTTTAACAAGAAACACAAGCGGCCTTTCCACCACCCCTCGTCTGGGGCTCGTGTCCGCGCAATGGTATGTCGACGCTAACACGATTTTAACGTGCCCGAATGCCGCGGCCGCGATGCCTAACCGTCTCGGTTGAATGCTACGAACTCGATCGCTACGACGTCAACACAACTGTCATCGAAGGTAAAAGGTTAGGTGTCAGATCAGTCGTTTGCAAAGCGACGTTGACAGAGGTGGAAACAAATTGCCGCGGCGTTTTTCCCGGCCTCTGAGATGCAGGAGCGACCTGACGTTAAAAAAGATACGTTTGAACGACGAGACTGCCAGCAAGAGCCACGTAAATACCTGTTCACACTCGGAGCAGACGCGCGCTTTTGATCGAAGTGCTTGATCCGTGCTGTTGAACCGCGAATAGGTAGTCGCTTTGGGACCGATCTTTTACGATTGCAGCTCGACACTAGCGTGACACTCGGCAAAGAAAGGGTAGACCGGCATCGCGTAGCTCCAACGAACTGTTATAGGTCGACGGTGACGTGCAGTCGTCTCAATATAAAAATGGCATACTAATAACACAGTGTACATACCGTGTTGCGAATGTAACTTATATGGCGTTTATTTGAGCTCTATATCAAACAAACAAGGGGATAGAATGGATGAGAGTCCCTTTTCGACGGCAGCGTTCGTCACCTCTGCCTTGGAAAACAAGGAGATGACAAGGGGAAGAGATTGAACTCTTAATCTAAAAATGAGGTCAGCGATCAAACTATAATACGGGAAGGGTCCACAAGGGTCGCGTAGGCATATTCCATTCGGCACGCCAGCCGGTCGTGGGCAGACGGTCTTGGCCAAGGACCGTCGGAGCAACGCTGCGCCGAGTTGTAGTGCCTGCTAGGCCCATATTTTGCCGAGCTCGCTTGGTCGGGGTCGGTGGAATCGTGGCCGGTAGAGCTTTTCGCGGGTCTTCGTGGATCCAAGGTTTATTTATTTATTTATTTATTTATTCACCCTCAAGGTCCGAAGACACTACCGAGGGGAGTGGGGAATACAAGGAAATAACAAGGGGCAAAATAAGCACAGTCATATATAAAAAAAAAATAAGAAGTAAGATGACTTTTCGGTGCCGGCTCGGCACCGAAAAGTCATCAATGGTAGCAATGTTCTTGTTCGTCGTTGTCTTTTTCCAAGTACTTCTTACTTTCTTTCTTGCTGCTTGAAGTCGGGATGCGCGAAAAGAGCACGTAGAAACATAAACCTCCGTTGGTCGTCACTACCAAGTAACAAAGTGACAAGGTCGGTCATGCTGATATGATCGGAAAAAGTGCGTAAGACAGCTTCGAAGCGGTCGTAGGATTCCGTTGTAACCTGCGCAAAACTTAGGATAATTTTGTTTCATGATACGAATTTGTTCTTACGTTTTGTCTTGCGCACATTTTTGGCGTAAGATCGTTTCATGAATCTGGCCTGTGGATTCTATCTGAATTTCAGATTTTAGAATATATTCCTTTTTCTGCAACCTGGATTTGAGGTTTCCGGAAACAATTCCACTTAATTTCCAATTCAATAATCCAGGTAGTGAAAAGTTATACTGTGTTTTCCGGTAGAGAACTAGGTTTCTGTTATTATTAAGGGCGTGGAATGCAGGAAGGCATTGTGCCCGCAACGTTTGACAATGCATGGAAAATAAAACACCAAGCGATCAACACGGTGAACAAGAGAAAAATATGTAGTTTAGATCATGCAGTTTTTCGCAGAGCTGACATCTGAGCTGCATTTTTGTGCAAGCTGAATATATTACAACATTAGGAGTTTGTTGTTAGATTTTACCAACTATTAACTGGATTATGCTTCATTTTTAATGCGCTTCATCGAGGAACCGAAATAAAGCAATCGTAAAACATTAAAATATAAGACGCTATTCAATTTAGATTAAGCAATGTACGACGCGTAAGACCAGGATTCAGCACACATTATGCCGAATATTTGTATCGCTAGTACTTCGGGAAAGGCATTAAACTCTTAAATGTTGAACTAAACACTGAGTGAAGAATAAAGTACTTACTTGAGGAAATATCTATTTGCCTTGATGTCCCAAAGCGGACGGAGTGTCATGTTTTTGTATGTGCTGTCGTACACGACCTTGGAGATAACGGTCACTGGAGACAGTATAATGAGTATTGCCTGGAAGCAGTCGGTCCACACTACGCCTCTTAGTCCACCCTTTAATTAAAAGTGAAAAAAAGAGAAGAAATATCAATTAATATTTAATGCTCTGAGATTCTGAAGAGAGGTTTCAGTCTGTGCTTGGTTAAATATAGGCAATCCTGCCTCTCATATAGAAAAATAAAATAAAAACAAACCATGCCGAATTTCTCAAATTGGGGTGAAAAACAAAAATATCGATTGGCAGCTGCCATTTATTATCTAAAGTCCAAGTATTCTGCAAATAAATATTCGCTAAATCTTCGCTTTTCTAAGGAACACAGCCGGCCCTGTGCTATCCAGACGACTACTCAATATTTGGGCCCCACACACTTCATCTGGTTTAATGCCCGTTTGTTTAGGGAAACGTCTCTGGAGTTTTCGGAATCGAGTTTTCTTGTTTTGTTCCCTTCATAATGCGCCCCTATAAACGAAGATATATAAATTCAGAATATTTGTTCCCAAATTTATAGGACAATATGTTCCAAAAACAAACAAAAAAACATAGCTCTCTTTTGAGGTTTGTCCTTTTGTTCTGCGTAATTCAGTACGTGAATAACACTCCAGACCAAAACGTAGAGAGTATACGTGAATAAATCTGATACCACTGAATAATTTTTTTTTTGTTTTGATTTTATTTCTTATGGACACTCCATTTTTTCTTCCATCGTAGTTTCTAAATGAACGAAGAAAGGTCATATCGATGGTAATTTATTAAAGGACTTATGATAGAGAACTATCTCTCTTTTCTACAGATAGCCAGCAAGACACCAATACTTGGGGTCTCCAAGTCGTCCTGCTTATGTAGGCGAGCTTGTAAGGAAACATTATAATCTAAATCCTGGGATGTGGAGAAATAAAATGACATACTACTTTCTTTCTGCCTATCTTTACAGTACGACATTCGAACACGTTTCGTTTTCTAGATGATTTTAGAATAGTTTATGCCTATTATCTTTGCTTAAGATGAAAAGTATACGTCCTATTTGGCCAATAATAATAATATAGAGATCGTCGTAAACACAACGAATCATCCTCATTACATACCAGAGCTGTGTACATTGTTCCTGTCAAGCCGATAGCTATGCTTGTCCAAGGAAGAGGCAGCTTGAAAACTACGAAAAAAGAAAAATGTTTCCCATTTTACAAGGTTCATATAGCACTCCAATTCCAGTGTAGGATCAACATAAAACGCGAGTTTTCAAAAGAAAAATATCGATAAAAAAAGGCACTTACAATCTTTAAAAACATGTTTTTCTTTACTATAGAATTATTCAACACGGCAGACGCCAGGTGGAAAGAGTAAAGTGAATTACCTAAAATTTACTGATTACAAATTGAAATATTTTCTTCAGCCGGTACTCAACTGTTCCTTCTACAAAATATGATATATCAGTGCTAAAAATTAAGACCAGATGCTGTTCCAAGCCATTCACTGGAAAAGTTAGCATATCTAATGTCCGTCATATAGAAACTAAAACAAACACCAAAAGCCAGGTACAATATATGATTATATATAAATCATATATTGTACAAAGTGTTGTATGTTGTATTTTTCTCCTAAGATGTCATATCCACTAATTCTGCAACACAATAGGTCTTGTATATCTCTATATTTATCGTTTGCCATTGTTTTGTATTGCCTTACCCCCTTACAATAATGCCCAGATTTGGGCGATGTAAGTATTCGAATAAATAAATAAAGAAATACTTAGGAAACTGCAGATGCACCGCGCCCCCATTTACGGCCACATGACGGTTATCGAGTCGCTATGAATTTTTTCCCGTGCCCGACGACGCTCTACTCAATGAGGCTGCCGTCGTTTGTTTTTTGTGATTTCATTTCAGTTTTGGTACTTTTTCTGGTCAGTGATTGAATTTTCAAGAAAAAAGCGCGAAGTACAATTTAGTCATGTGGCGTCTACAATGGCGTAGCATATCTTGGCTGCCGGCAACATATTTATAATTAGAATATGCAGGCGAAGGATTATTTTGAAAGGTAAATTGGTGTGTTTAATGTAATTAGTTTGCTACTTTTCACTTTACACTTTTCATTTGACGTCCACCGCGGTTGGTAAAGCTAGATTGAACGAATCACAATCTTATTTCAAGTTCCGTTTGCTACAAAATTATTTTCCTTTTGAAAAGAACGCGGGCATAGTGTGATTATTATTTATGCTTTTAAAGGGCGACTTGCGTATGGACATTTTTATCACTGCATGTGTATTGGGCTTGACGGACATCATACGAGGGGGTAATGGCCACAAACAGTAGAGTAATTTTCTAAACGTTTTAACTTTATAATTTGTGATTTGATGGGCCACGTTTCGATTGCAGTATTGACTGGCAAATCCAAATAAGGGCTAAACCACGATGAATTATAGACATTCAGACTATGGAGAAACACGGCGATGAAAGAGAGAAAGAACAGGAGTTGGAATTGAAAAACTTGAAATTAAATCGCTTTGCAAGTAAGGAACAGCCTTTGAGATATGCATGGAGTAGTTTTCGTGTTTTTGTCTCTTGAATTTTAATCTAAATGCAAGAAAACCGCTGCAAGACATTTCGTCAATCATGGATATAAAGTGGGGTAGTCAATTTTGAATCCTGTCACAATCTAGGCAGTGTACCTTCGGCGCATCTAGATCCGCGAAGCACGCGCTGTCTAGATAGTAACCACGTGACTGAAATTAGATCAATCTTCTAAGCGTCATCTTGGGTACTATTTCCGGCGCTTTTTCCTAGTTTATGGTTGGAATAAGGCAAACAAAATGCGGGAAATATTACATGAATATCTCAAGAACTCATCCGTTCCGGAAATTTTTTAAACTGCCTTAAACTATGCCGCCTAAAGTGTAACTACACCATGACCTGTCAAACTATTATTCATAAAAGTATCTATCAACTCCAAGTCACTAAACATTATGACTGTCATTGCTACCTTCTCATTTCCTGTCCGCCGAGCAAAATACATAGGCAATTTAGACAATAGAATTCAAGCATATTTGTTCAAATGAAAAGAAACAAACCTGTATATGGTCGTATTTGTTTGAATATAAAATAAGATAGTGTTTATTATTACTTTGGGAGTTTTTCGGAATATTTATTTACTGTGCCGGATATTTTCGAAAGAAAATGCTTTTTAAAAGTTTAGACACGTTTAGTTTTTAACGGAATAAAGTCTCAAATGTGCTGGGAACGAAGGGATTTGGACATTTGTAGACTGTGACATTATTATTGGCGTTTTATTTCAATATCCCATTTACCTCCAGATCCCCCGTAATTTTTAGTATAATCTATGTATAAGGTAGTAAGAGAATGATGAAATTAATGTTGATTTTTTAAAGCCTCGAGTTTTGTAAGAATAGAACGATATTACCTGCCACACTGACTATGTCTCTGCTGCCGCAATGCACCGAGGGAACTTTACTTTGTCTGCACGTGCGACAATCTTGCTGGACCTCTGTGCCTGCAGAGCACAGGGCGGCACTAGGTGCGTTGTGCATTCCCCCTTCCTCCTAAAAACTAAAGTAATGGGGTGTCAAGCGTGCGCAGAATGCTTGGTGAGGTCGGTCTACTCCCAAACATGCGTCATGCATGCGAGAGCAATTTTGTCGTTGAGGCGTTAGTGGTTTTTGGTTCTTCTTGAAGGGGCTTTTCGGGTATTACATTCAAAATAAATGCCATATAAAAGATGTGTCTTTTTATTCCAGACGATCTAAAGTTTATGTATATTTTTTTATATCAAGGATGCATTGGGAAATTAAAGACAAAAATTATATGATCATGTTTAAGTTCAACGCGCATATAAAAAAGAGATTATTTTTTTTCATTGCCTCGCCATATGGTAGTTTGCTTTTAACCCACACTTAGTTAATAAGGGGTAAGCGCATAGTATAATACTGTTAACCCATGAATATGCTTTAAATTATCAACTGCCAACGGCGGCTTTTTGACACTTGATCCCTGTGCAAAGTCTGAATGAGTCCCTAGCGTAAGCTATTACCGGTATGTACAATACCTATTGTAGAAGAAGAAACTATATAGTGCTATGGAGAATTTGGAATACCTATTGTACATTTTCAACAATCTGGGCGTAGTCTTTCAGTGTAAAATGCTATACAAAATACTTATTGATTACACAGATTATTTAAAAAATAGACAAATATTAGCTTTCGGATGATTTTGCACGGAAGATATAAATTTTCTCCCAATACTCTTTTTGGAGTTTTGCGAATTAAACCATGCAATAGGGTATATCAAATGCCGTTTTTGGAACCAAAATGGGCCGTAAAGATCGGCGCCTGAACGCAGCAATCTAAACTTTTCGTCAAAGTTGTATTTCACAGGTTGGTTTAACCTTGTAACCTATAACGCGTAGCTGCCTTTCTGTTAAAAAAATAGGGCCAGAAAACTTGACAGAGTCAACGGCGAACGGCGACGCAGACGAGCGAGTCGAGTGGCGGGGCGCGTTCGGCGCACGTATTGGTAGACAGTGCTACCTCCTTACTCCGACTTCCGTTTAAAGATATCGACACTGCCCACGACGACCGTGATCTGTTGAGATTAACATGATCTTTTTTGTAATCTACCTTTTTGTTTATAAATATTTATGGATGATGACAATAAGGCTTGAAGTAACACAATATTTTAACAGAAAACGCCGTTGTATTACGACGGCGATCTCGGTACTGACGGAATTTGTCTGCGATTCGTCTGCTTTCTTTTGGTAGCCTACACATTTCTGTGCTGCTTTCGACGCTGTCTATACGAGCGCTCGCCGAACGTGCCCCGCCTCTCGACTCGCTCGTCTGCGTCGCCGTTCACTGTTGACCTTGGCAAGTTTTTCGGCACTATGTTTTACAGAAATGGAGCTAGGTCTTGCAATTCGATAAGGTAAAACATACATCTAAGATACATGTGACAAGTGGTGTATCGCTACGTGAAGGCGATAAATTTTACAGTCCATTTTAGATCAAGCCTTGGCATTTCCGACATATTATATAGGTATATAACGCACATGCCATTCTGTTCACCCTGTCGAAAAGCACATTTTTATTGGTTGTTGATATTACGCAATAAAATATAAAAAAACGGTTATTTTATTTTTTTACCCTCTTGATCTCGCAATATCTTTATTATTTTAGGTGGGATGTACAATCGGCTTCTTTTATACCTGTTTTGCCTACCACACTATAGGTTTGTAAAAAAAATATATTAAAACAAATACTTTTGGAGCGCCGGACCGAAGGCGAATTTGCGACGATGGCACTTTGTGCTGTACTTGAAGAAGCAAACATAATTCGTTTTTATTACTGACTTTTATGATCTCCACAGCAAACGATCTTATAATTGGATATTTGCATCAGTCAACTGGAGAATCATGGAAATTTCAATTAAACGAGAGGTTTCTCGGGTCTCGTGTGCCATATCAACAAGCAGCATTCTAAAAAATTAAACCAAGCTTTTTACATTAAAATAAATCCTTATCTCGTTGGGAAGGTACCGCCGGACACACTAAGGACGTGCTACCCTTCCTTGCTTCTCGGGATTCCCAGAGCTTCTACCACGAAGGTCAATTGAAGCGAAATCAGGACATATAAGCTCGAGTTTAGTATCTTTTAAGGAAAGGCTCTCATTCTGTGAGTCCGACGTATGTTGGACTCACATAATGAAAATGTAAAAGTATGTGAAAGTATGAAAAAAAAAACACAAACATATAAAAAATCATTTTATTTAAAGCACTTTCAGCTTATACAAAATCTCGAACGCATCACAGAAATATTTATTTTTCAGCATACCCAAGCCGAAGCATAAATATCGGACTGTTCAGAAGATATAACAAACGCTAGATATATTAAACATGTATTTTAATTTGGCCTTACTAGATTATACATTCAGTATCGTAGAAAATTATTAAGGAAAGGCCGGTAATAGTTATGAATTTAGCGAGAATGAAAACTGTCAAAGAAAACAGTAATCAAAACCCGGTCGTGCTACCCCACAGTTTTGGGATTGTATTTTTAAAACTGTGGAGCCTAACCATTCAGATATACAGCGTTGCATGTTGAGCGGCATAACGCCAGGATGTATAAAAAATGAAACCAGAT